TTATAATTTTGTTCAGTGTACATAGCTGTGGTAGGAAAAGCCATGTGAGTGAATGACAGAGCTATAAGTGACTTGGACCACGTCTGAACCGGCCCCTACACCTTGCCTCTACCCACTCTCACTTTGTTTGTTTGCATCGATGCAGCTACAAACTGCAAAGTGCATCACTGCTGATGTGTCCGGGTCGAAAGAAACGCCTACATACCAACAATTTGTGCCATGTGGTTATTTCCAAAGAATAAGTAATACGTTGCTTCACCTGAAACAGACGTTTCATAGGTTATTTTGTGGCGGAGGTTGTTTTTGGGAACAAACATGCAGTTGTGGATGCAAAACAACAGGTGTTGCTTTCATATACAAATTAAGACCTAAATTAACCCTAAAAACAACCATATTATTATTATTAATAATAATAATAAATAAATAATATAAATAAATAATAATGATAATACAATATTATTATTATTTGACTTGATTGCTTATGTTGTGCAGTTTCATGGACTGTGGAAAAATCAAGGATCCAATCAGTTTAAGAACAGCAAGTAAAAATGCAGTCAAATAAGAGTGGGTAGTTTTATTTATTTATGTGACTTGAATTTAATGAAAATTTCAAGAAAGGCACAAACTAGCTGAAGTCTAGCACTGAATACAATTTCCTGATAATGAGGGATCTTTACCCGCAATGTGTGTGTTTTTTTTTATAACATTATTAAATAACTGTTACCACTTATACCTAAAACCAATGTTAATCAAATTTGCGTTTAAATTTGTAAAATATGTTTGAGATATGATGATTAAATGGCTCACTGTCACTACTAACTAAACTGATTAATTTTATTATTATATAGTTTCATCATTAAAATCCAAAACTAATCATTTAATTTATTGATAACTGACCACTGAAAAGGTATTTCCATTAAACCCTCTCATGTTGATACAATGGAATCTGACAGCAATGTCTAGGAAATGTCAACATCAAAAATCATGGCGTTTGGTTTTCTGTGGTATTTCTTTCTGTGTCATTTTTTTTTGCATTCCCTTAAAACATGTTTTACATAATATGAAGCATTTTCTGATGCCAGATATTGATTCAGAACATAACAGACATGGAAAGTAATGAGGGGGATGCAAAATAATTCAGAAGAACTGCAAATGTTGCCTGCGTGAAGAAACACAAAACTAGCTGCAAAAAAAAATCCCACCATGGCCTTGTCGGGTAGCCAGTGGTTTTTGGTTTTTGTGTCAGTTGCTTTCTGTTCGGTCTTTTTTATCAACAATCAGAGAGGTAGAAACACATCATAGGAACGGCAGATATACATCACCACCAGATCAGACTGATCAGCACATTGCATTATTCCAGATTGTTTGCTGATAACGAGTATGTGAAATAAAGAATAAGACCTCTTTATAAGCATATATTTTAACTACACAATGACACATGGCAACTACAGCAAAGCCAGAAAACACAGCACCGAACATCACAACATTGTACATGTGAATATATGCAAATTGTAAATAAACAAAATTAAAGGTACTCAACACAAAGTGACATTTTTGACCCTGTTGTATCACCAAAATCATAAGAATTCATAAACTGGAGATCACAATTGTCTGTGCATAACTTCATGGTAATCTATCCAACACTTATTGAGAGATTTCAGTGTGGACCAACCAATTGAACAATAAACTAAAATTAAAATGAATATACTAAATATAATCTTTTAGACTGAAAGTGACCATTGTGCAGCAGTGTAGTGGTGCCTGGAGAAGTGGGTATTCTCTTAATTTATGCCCTAGTTTCTAAAGCGGCCCATCATGTGTATACAATCTTTCTTTTGCTATAAGATTCGTGGCTACTTTGTATGAAGAGGACAGTGTGATACTGACCCAAAAAGAAATTTCTTCTCTCTCCATTCAACCCTTTCATTGAGATCTGTTTCAGAACTTTTGAGATGTGATTTCAGTTCCTGTTATTTACTCTCTTGACTTTTCTCCCTTTATTTGATGAGAAACATCTTTCTCATGAGTAAAGTTACAATGTCCTCATGTTCTGGTTTATCTCCACTCTGTGCCACCTGCAGTGGTGTTTTCCCCACATTATTGGTAGTTTGCAGATTCACTTTTTTCCGCCGTCCCATGTGCCCAGCCTGGCCCCAGTTTACAAGTCTCCTCACTACCTCCTGGTGTCCGCCTCGGACAGCACAGTGCAGAGAAGTGTCTTTATTGTGATCTGTGCTGTTGATTTTTGCCCCGGCCTCCAGCAGCAGCACCGTCACATCATCATGGCCTTTCTCAGCTGCAGCATGAAGTGGCGTTTTCCTCCATGCATTCCTCTCGTCTGTCCCCTTGTTGTTGAGTAACTGTAGAAGCGCTGAAACCACGCTGGAGTGCCCACCAGCAGCTGCATAATGGAGAGGTGTGGAGCCATCCATGTCTTTAGCCCCTCCCTTTGCCTTGTGGGACAACAGTGAAGTGACAGCATCCACTTTCCCCTCAATGGCAGCCAGGTGGAGGGCAGCTTTTTTCTCATTATCAGTGGTGTTTGGGTTGGCTTTGGCCGACAGCAGTAAGTCTACCACACAGCTTTCTCCATGGGAAGAGGCTGCCCAGTGCAAGGCTGTCCTCCCCAGCTTGTCTTTGACTCCTGGGTCTGCTTTGCCTTGAAGAAGCTGGTTCACTGTGTCTGCATGGCCCTTCTGACTGGCTATATGCAGTGGGGTTAACCCATCCTGGGCTACTGCATTTACCTAAAGAAATGACAGACAATCCTCAGTCTCTACAAACATGAACATCTAAGAAATGACCAGCTAGTTTGACGATTACCTGTGCTCCAGCTCTTAACAGCAGATCCACTAATTCTGGCCTATTGTACTGAGCTGCCAGGTGTAGAGGGGTTTGGGCTTTATGTCCAGTAATGTTGGGGTCTATTCCCTTTTCCAGCAATGTCTGCACTATGGACACACTGCCACTGTGGACAGCCAGGTGCAACGCTGAGGAGAGGTCGGATAAAGTAGCATCCAGTTTGGCCTGTTTTGCTACTAGCACTCTGAAATGAAAAAGAGGTCATTATTTAAGATGTAGCGAGCAGCTTATGCTCTCCAACAAAATCATATTGGACATCGTGAATTGTGGACAAATATAAAGACATACATGATCATAATCTGCAGTAATGGACATATAGAACATTTGACAGTAAGAAGGATATGGCCATTATACCCACCATATTTGTGTCATTGTGTCATTGTACTGTACGTTCTGTTCCCCCAGGGACCCAGCCCACTGACTTGTGTCCTCTGTAGTGGACATTTGGTTCATATGAATCACCCTATACTCTTTTGAGCTATTGATCCCTGTTGTACTGTAAAGAGGATATCCTGGGCTTTCCTGTGATATGACATTTTATTAAAAGAGGAAAGGTGAATCCACTATTTTAGCAATGATAATCACATATATATTTTCTTCTTTATTATCATGTCAGGAAATATATTCTGTTCTGAAAGCAATTAAATTATTTTGGTTTTGAAATAATAGCCCTTTTATGAATATTAACTGTAGTGAACACCAGGACCATCTTTATGAACTTAATAACTCCACATTGTTGTAAGAGACAGAACTGAAGTGACATAAATGTTTACAAGATAACTGAGGGTGAATCAGATTTGAAACTGTCAGATGACAACAGAGATGAGGATGAGTTTGAACCTGTGAGAGATTTTGAAGAAGCGGAAGAAGAAGAGACACAGAAACAGAAACAGACAGGGACAAGCAAGCAAAACCTTGGACCAGGAGTAGCACGTTTGTTTTATTCAGATCTAGTGATTAGCCACTGTTGATATTCATGGTAAAAGAAAAATACTACAAATTTTGTTTTGTTGTTCGAGGTTAATTTTGCATCAGTTACTGTTAAATTTTAAATACTTAATTTTGGATATTTTTTGTTATATATTTTTAAAATGGCCTGAGGTACACTGCAGTGGGTATGCAATAAAATTTAAAATAAATAAAATAAAAACATAAATTGTAAGATGTTTTTTTAACCAACAAAAGTAAGAAAATCACAAAAAAGAGAAATTGTATGACACTTATTTTCTTTTGGTTCACAGTACGACATGTCATGTTTTTGCTTCTGCTAAAACAACAAATAAATAACTGAATAGCCACTATGTGTAACATTTAACAATATATCAAACCAGTGCCCCCTGGTGGTTGTTTAAAAAAAACACTGCCTTGCATAACCCTGCCGTGTATGCAAGGCTCACAAATTCATATTTATTCTTATATATTCACATATAGCCTTTAAATTCTGCCATCAAATATGTGTGGTTGCTTTTTTCTGTCTTGAGTCTCTATTTTTTATTTTTTTATTTTTTCATATTTGTTACGCATATTTGGGACCTTGATGGGTCGGTTATGTACTTTCAACAGAAAGCCTATGTTTATGTCTGAAAATGTATTGAGTGGGAAGAAATGTTCTTTTTATTTTATTTGTGTAATTGGTCTTTATGTATCTAACTCAATTTTTCAAACATTAGAAAATAATAATAACCTGTGGCTATCAGATTCCCTCTATGTGATTGTTTAGAAGAGCAACATTCAGCCCTAGTTGCACAGCTACCTGAAGACATCAGTGTGTCCCAGCTCAGCTGACAGCAGGAGAGGAGTGTACCCCTGTTTGTCTAACATGTTCACATTTGCACCGCTGTCTATGAGAACGGTCGCCACTCCACTGTGGTTTTGTTTAACAGCTGAAAAGAGGGCAAGACCCAGTGCGTCTTCACTCAGTGCTCCTCTGGCATTACCTGTGGTTTAAACAAAATATGCTGTGAGCTTGTATGTTTGTAGCTTCAGGCCTCATTTATGTTCTCATAAAAGAAGTCTAATATGAGCAAGATGTTAAATAAAGACTCACCAAGCAGCAGGCGGAGAATTGATTCTTCATTGAGCTTAATGGCTTCATTTATAACATCACAGTCAACTTTAGCCCCTGCATTTAGAAGGACAGTGACTGTTTTCTCATTGTTCCTGGAAACTGCATAAAACAGAGCTGTTTTTTTATGCTGGTTTCTTGCATCAGTAGCGGCCCCGCCTTGCAGCAGCATCTCAGCCAGCCTCCAGTCATCTTCCATGGCTGCCATGTGAAGAAACATGTCCTTTGTGTGGCTCTCAGACTGCTTGGCCTCCTCCTTCACCAGGACTTTCACAGAATTCAGGTGGTCATTTTCTGCTGACAGGTGAACAGGGGTTTTGCCTTGTAGATCCAGAGTGTAGATGGGGGCCCCGGCTTGTATGAGGGCCCTGACTATCTTTGTGTGACCTCTGCTGGCTGCTCTATGTAGAGCTGTATGACCTTTATTATCCTGCAAGTCCAGTCTGGCTCCTTTACGGACCAAGAGCTCAATGATGGACAGGTGACCGTACTCAGCAGCTACATGTAACAGTGTTTCACTGGAGGAATTGACTGAGTTGATATCAGTGTCCTCTAACAGCTCCTCCAGCAGTATTACCTCCCCACCTGTGGCAATCATGTGGATGAGATTATCTGCTTTACTTTGCGTTGGTTTATGCTTCTCTGATTTTGGCACAATGCTTCTGTCTTCCTTTTCAGGGATAGATTTCTTAGTTTCTTTGGTGGCAAATAAAGTATGTGTCCCCTGAGTGACCACTCTGTCAGTTATTTTATCCATCCCCTCCTGGTCCCTCTCCAGCAAATATCCAATCAGCTGTCTCCTGGAGTCTCGAATACGTTTGTTCACACCACCCAAATAGGTCTTGATTTGTTGATAGAGGTCTGGTTCTGCCAGCATAAGACATGGATGGAAGAACTTCCGGCATGCCCTTTCACCTCTGGCCTCCAGGATGTCCAGCACCCTGGAGTTTTGATCTTTGCGAGTCCTCATGGTTAGGACGATGGATCTCTTTGCTGCTGTAACGACCCCCTCTGTGACAAGAAGATCCAGGAGCTCCTCTGTATGGGAGATCCCATAAACTAGATCCCTTCTCTTTTCCCGGATTACATCCACAGCATAAGGGTTGATATAGTTTGATGCTGCCGGAGCATCAAAACCCTTGAGTATTTTAATCATTTTAAATATTCCGGGAAACTAAAGGTTTACTTTAGCCTTCACACCCAGCGAGTCATTGTTGTAACTTGTGGTTCTGGCAGTTTGTGTGTGTGGTTTATACCTTATTGCTAAGTGAAACACCTTGCCCTGGCAACAAAATGCAGACAAACCATTCAGATCTGTTCAGGGCAACCTGCCCTTTGTCAGATTATGTGACCAACAAACATTTTTAGTTTTCATTGGATGCAGCATGGGAGTTCTGACAGAAGTCATTTATTGTTATTAAAGTTTGTCATTAAAATAATGACAATGTTTCTTCTGAGCTTGTCTTGTTTTACATCATTTTAGTTTTATTTATTTATTAATTTGAATCTTATTTTGTAAACAATATTATCAGGAGAGGTGAACACTTAAAAAGGAGTTGTTTCAAGATAACTTTAACCTGATGCAATTTGTATTTTATCAATTTGATTAATACAATTGTAATATTGAATTATATTATTTAATTGCTATTACTAATATATATTTCAATATTGTAGTTAGTTAAGGTAGAGATAGTCCTAGTCCTAACTTTGGGTAGTTAACACTGCATTATATTTTGAAAGATGGTAATATATTATGTATGTAACATAGTAGAATGAAGTAGAATAGAGAGGAATTATTCAAGTAAAGTACAGGTAGCTACCCCAAAACCCTACAATTACAGTGATATAGTCTTGACAACTGATTTATTTTAAATTTATTTTAACGTCAGATTAGATTTAGACATTTGGATTTCACTGCTGTTTTTCAATATAAATACCAATTCAATTCGAATCTATTCTGTTTTATTTTATTTTTTACATCCAATAGAATTTGTTTTGTTGCCGCTGTAATCCTTTCATTGATTTGCCCTTGGTAAAGTCTCCTTATTAATGCAGAGATTATAGAGTCGATTCACTTCCCGTAATACACGCCTCCTCAGTCGTGACGTAGATCTTCCGAGCGTTCCCTCTCCTTATATGGTAGTGAAGGACTCCGCTTTCCGGAATGATGTCATGCTGCCCCAAGTTTGAGAAATCAGAACAGGTTAAAGCAGATTGATTGAGTCCCCGTTATAATTAAACATAACTAAAGATTAAGGACAAAGCTAAACCCACATCATCAATTTTATTAATTGGTCTATCATTAAAAAATAAAATAATGTATATTGAATTAATCTAAAGTAATTTAATTGTTTATGAATATATAAAAAAGAAATTGATATATTTATGTGTCAAAACTACGTTGTAAAAATCTTCCATATTGGTTTATAAGAAAAGATAAAGACAAACACAAAAATGAAACAAAGAAAACGAACAAAGAGCAGGGAAAAGAAAGAAAATGGTCTACTTAGAACAGATTAAAAGGCACGTCTGTTTCACTTTTAGGCTTTCTTGTGTATCATAGTTACACTAAAAATATAATTCAAACGCTCATAATTAATAACCTGTTCTGTTTCTTTGGCACTACATCAATCGCTCGTGACAGATCTACAACCGATGAGCCAACCTACAGTGGAGGCATGAAGGCAGCGACGTTTCATTTCATCTTCCAGGTAAATTAGTCTGTGTCGCCCTCTAGTGTTTTATTGTAGGCAGCGCAGGTGGTTGAAGAGTGTTCAATACTATATAACCAGTATTCAATATCTGACCTGTCCCGCCACATTCACCTGCTGTCTTTAGTGTCTATGCAGGAATGAAGCTTATCATGTTTGCTGGGTTCACTGGGGAAATTAAGACAAGTTTTGTTGTACACAGGTTGTGTTTTATAACTTTATGAATTATTTATGTCACTGAATACATTATATATGTACAGTGTTGGTGTTTGTTTATTTATTTGTTTATTGTTTGTTCCTATAAGCTACTTTTTATAGCATACTCATTAAACGTGGGACTATATGATAAATATATAATAATGTATCCAGAATACTCTCTCACAAACCACAGTGGGCTACTTTTAATGAGTTAACGTTCAGTGATGTGTTATCTATGATGTAGCCTACATCTAGTCATAATATAGGACTTATGACTTAATTTGAACTTGTTTGGACATTCTGGCATTTTTATTTACAACAGGACAGGAAGTAATGTTGAATAACTGAATGATGAAACAGCGTGGAGGATGGCCTGTTATTTTCCTGTTAGCTATTATGTGTCAAATCAGTGATACCGCAGATTTCTTCAGTTCAGATTTATTGCTTACTTCAACCTGTTGTAACTGTAACAATGCTGAAGTTACAGTGTCTCACTTGTAGTGTCACATCACCTGAGAACAATGTGAGGTTTTGTATAATATTCATGCTCTTCAGGCAGGTCTGTGTGCTGAGACATAAAGTGGATATCTTAAGCTCTACAAGCCCAATTTGCAGAACTGGCTTCTATCAGTAGTAAGTGATACTGGTCTGTCAGCTGAGACACAGTCACTTAGCCTGGATCGATACCAGCACTAATGGAATTTACCTTGAGGTATTGGGAACTAGCAGCTCTTCCAACATGTTGCAACATGTTTTATTGTTTGAGCTCCTGACATGGCACACCCACTTTTCTTTCTGTCACACACTTACAAGAACACAGAGGCAATGTTGCTTCATTTTATCTGGTTTATTTTCTTAAATATCGATTAGTTTCTGAAGTGCTCAGAAGACAAAACATAAAAAAAATTATACAGTATTCTTATTACAAATGGTAAACATAAGTACTCCAAGTTGATCTTATATACATATAACAATGAGTGAAACCCCATTAAACAACTTTAGAAAAAAACAAGTAAATCTTGAAGCTTTTCTAACTTAATTTCTTACAATTAAGAAAAAAGTACATTGTACTGTAACTCAGAAGTCAGGCAGCTTTAGTTACAACTTTTCAGCCGTTTAGAGTTGGCCAACACAACCAAGTTTGAGGCCATTATGGCTACAGCAAGAAAAGTCTCTATTGCAGGTTCTTAAATCCTCTAATACTGAATTTCCCCTTTGATGGTCATGATAAGGTCCATGCAGAGCTGGGAGTAAATCAAGAAAACTTCAGTCCTGTCCAGTTCTGTAAAAAAAAAACAGCACGAAACAGAGACAGAAAGGGTATCCTGCTTGTTGCCATGTCCCCTTCTGGTTCATGGTTACTGTCACTGTCCCGAGCCCCTCTCTGGGACGCGCCAAGGGGGGAGCGCATGGCACTCAGCAACTTTTAGCGCGGTCCCCTGTCCTGCCAGTGTCGCGCCACATCATCCCAAATCCCGTCACGATTTCGGGAGATACAGCCACTCACTATCACAGGATGCGTCCGTTTCGTTCAACTACAGTCTTTTTTTCTCTCTCCGCCGCCGCTGACACCACCTCAGAAGGTCTGGAGCTGCTGCGTTAACATGAGCTGGCACCCGCTGTTGACGTGGTTCATCACCTTCTGCTTCAGCTGGGCCACCTGCTCCCGCAGCATGTTGGCGGTGGACGCAAGCTCCGAGTTCTGGGACTTGAGGGTCTTCACTTTGTCCTCCAGCCTTGAGATGCGCTCCAGCTTCCTCTTCCGGCATTTGGAGGCAGCGATGCGGTTCCTCATCCGCTTTCTCTCGGCCTTGATGCGCTCCTGGCTCTCCATGTCGATTGGGGAGAGAGGAGGGGTCTCCCCCGGCATCTCGGGCACAGTTTGGGGCTCCTCTTTGAGCGCCGCGAGCCGGGGGATCTGGGCGGAGGATGGCTGCCCGTAGATGGGGAGCTGAGGCGGGGCAGCAGGGAAGGACATAGTCGGGGCTGAGGTGGTGTAACTGGGCGCCGAGACGGTGCTGATGGCCGGGTTGAAAGTGTTCAAGTCCTCATACACCGGCGAGTCGGAGCGCATGGCGGCGTTGTTGTTGTAAACGGTGGCACCGGCAACAGACGAGACCGGAGGCAGGGCAGTGTTGACACTGGTCTGGGCAGCTGAGGTGACACTCACATTGGCTGTGCCCGGCATGTGTTGGTGGTGCAGCTCGGCCAGGGCTCTGACAAACCCCTCTGCGAAGCCCTCCTGCTCGTCGGTGACATTCTTGGGGCACAGGAACTGGGTCGGGGTCGGGGTGGTGGTGATGAGTCCGTTGCTGGACTGGATGATGAGCCGCTCCAGCTCCGGCGAGGCCAGCTTCAACAAGCCCACATCAGGAGAGGTGAGCATGTCGCTGGCTTTGGCCCGCAGGTGAGGTTTCAGAGTGCCCGTCGGGTCGGAGAGGTTCAGTGTCATGTTGTGTTTCAGCGCTTTGGGGTTGCTGTACCCGTAGCCGGCGTTGTCTTGCTGGGAGAAAGCGTTGAGTGAGTCGTCATAGAAAGTAGTTTCCATCTTGGTATACATAGAAGAGAACCCGAAAGCAATGCACTATAAAGTCTTCTAGGCTACAAAACAACTCTTCGTCCCCCCTTTCGCTTCTTCTTGGTTTATCAGTTGAGGAAAAAGAAGAAAAGCACTGGTTTCCAAACGTCCTCTCTCTGTGCGTAAAAACTTCCAAACTTTGAGTGCGCACTCTGTTGACACAGGAATCAGGACTTACTTCTTTTCAGCCAGCGACGGTCGATTGCTCAGTGCTGAGTTGTAACAGTTCACAAGGCTTCGAGCAAAGTATCCACACTTGTATTGAGCCCGCGAATGAAAGGCGCTCTTAAGTTGTCTCGTCGGACAGCAGCAGCGTGTGTCTGCGGCGCTCCCTCTGCCCGGCTGTGTGTATACTCTGAGCGGTGCAGCGTGGAGGCAAACCTTATCTGCTGCCGCTGCCTCTCTAAAAATAGCCATGATGTCATGACGGGGCTCTCCCATTGGCTGGAGGGCGTGTCGTGCTGCGGGGCCCTCCCCTCAGATAAGGCGCGTTGCCTTGACGACCACCCAGAAGATTCTTAATCTCGCGGTGGATTGTGGGATGAGGTAATGCTGAGAGGAGAGCGTAAGCGCGGTGCATTGTGGGATGACGTATTGTTTTTGAATATCTGGTTACCCGCTTCACTGTCAGTGGCGGGACAGGCAGCGTCCAGGACGGCTGCTCCTGAA